CTCATGTATTTTGATAAAAAAATAAAGATCTATAACTAGATTTGAGGTGTTTTGTGTTTAAAATTTCGAAAACTTAATAAAAATTCATAATATAAAATGCAAATTTTAAATAAAAAACAAATTAAAATTGACCCAAAATTCATAATGCATACTTTCTGAAACAGTGAGGGGTATGGAGATAAGTGAGAAGAGATAAGATAAATGCAAGGATGCGGAGAAAAAAATAAAAGCCCTACAAAATCGGACATGGAATGCCTTTTATATTTGATAGACTTTTTCCGGTCCATTGGATTTATGTTCACAAATTTAAGCTGTTGGATCAATAATATAAATGAATTCGGATAGATTTAATTTCATCTGAACTGGGCCGGATGTTTGGGCTCTATGTCTTACTCATAATATTCTTATTCTTATATTGGGCTATTTATTGGATCCAACAGTTATAATAAAATAGATTAAAATTGTTTTATACTGTTACTTTCGTCCAAATATATTGTCCCAATTTTTTATTTTATGTTTTATGAGTTTTATGAGTTTATGGGTCAGATTTTATGCACAAACACTTACAAGTAATCTATATCTATATCTATATCTATATATATCTATATATAAAGAGAGAACCTATTTACCAAAAATATTAACAACAAAAGTCAACCAAGATTTATTGCATTCTATTTTGCAGTTTTTGAATTTTCTTTTTAAATTATTCCCAAAAAATCGATTAGCTATATAGCACCCTAAATTCATGGGTTTTGTGGATTTAATTTAGTTAAATTTCGACTGATGGTTACAATTTTGCAAAAGTCAAAATTCTTTCTCATTTTTTATTAAAAAAAAAAGAAATTGATTACCATAAGATCGGGAATTTCGAATTAGGCAAAATACTATACCATAAGATCGGGAATTTCGAATAGGCAAAATACTATCACATATATCTTTTCCTAATTGCAACATATCAATTGTTTAATAAAAAAATCGGATTGCATAAAAATTGGGTTAATTTAAGTAAAATTCGGCATGATAATTTTGTAAAAGTCAAAATTCTCTCATTTGATATTAAAAAAAAAATAAAAATTGTTTACATAAAATCGAGAATTTCAAATTAGGCAAAATACTATAACATGTATCTTTACCTAATTGCAACATATCATGTTTATTAAAAAATCGGATTGCATAGAAATCAGACTCAATTTCAAATTAAAAATTAAAATTCAAAAATCTATTATCATTTGACTACTACTTTCTTTAATTCTGATTTTTTTTCTAAAATATAAAACATAGTCAGATAATATTAATTTGAAATTCAAAATGAAATTGGATTGAAACATCCTAAAAATTTTGGTTTTGTTTAATCCTCTAGAATACAAATTTGCAATTGATTCATACACTTACACAGTTTTTTCCTTCCTTAAATTAAGTAATTCATAATTTTAAAATAATAAGGTTATAGATTATCATGAAAGACGTCCTACAACCTCTGTTATATTTGGCTATGCAATTTTTATAAAACCAGTATAAATTATATTATATATATCCTGCTAAATAATTTAATTAATTTAGTTAACCCTATCTAGAATCCTAATATAATTTGTGATGATAGACGATGTACCAAAAGACCAAACAAATAATTTTGTGTACAAGGATGTGTTTAATAATATATAAGTTTCATTTTGTTTTATTCCAATATATGCGTCTTACCGTTCTTCCAATCATCCAATTCTAAATGCTTACCTTAATCAAACTAGCCCGTGCATCCAATTCTAGTTTATTACAAAACTTCCTCTAAATAATAAATTCATGTTCACTTACACACTTAACTATTGAAAAAATTATCATTAAAATCATTAAATTTCAACTAAAATCTCAATAGAAAACTCGTTCAACTAAAATATTTTTCCTAAAATTTCCGTTGCAATCAGTACTGTGGAATCTATATCGTTGAAATATTGATTGAAATTCTCATTAAATATATTACCGTTAAATTTTCCGTTATAATATGAAAACCTTTTTGTAGTGATATATATAAAATAATATTAATATATAATATATGTTACAAAAATTTGTTAGCTAAACAATTATATTTTCAAATAAAAATGCATGATCATATGAACATATTCATTTTGATTAATACTAATTCTAAAAATAAAATATTTTAGTATGGAAGTATGTTGTGAAAAAGCATTACTAATGAGTAGGATCCATAATACCGAAACACAAATTCTACGATGAGATAATCTATCAATTAGACAAGTCAATCCATCATACATTTTGATCATGAATAAAAGTTACAAAACAAGAAAAGGGCACTTAAACTATTAAAACGAAAAATCATATCATCAAATCCAAACACATCAATCAATCAAAAGTAGGGCCAATTATAGGAGATGAGTTGATACATCTCTATCTAAACCCCATGTTTTATCACAGTTACAAACATACACTTTGACTAGACTAGTAATTAACATTATAGTACTTCACCTAAAATTCTAGAACCCCTGTAAAACGGCCGTACAAAGATAAAACATAAAGGGCCCAAATTTTGACAAACAATTAAACTCCCACTTGGGATAAATATAAGTTCAAGTCCCATCCAACATCATCATCCACTTCATTGATCTATCCTCTCCAATCATGTCTGGTTATACTGATAAATAAATGTAATCTCTTCCNNNCATATAGTCAAGTGAAAATAATTTCCCCATGCATGGCCTAACCACAACAAAATGACACAACAACTATACAAGGTGGCCTTTTCATTTTCCCTTTTGTTTTTCCTCATTCAAATTGAAGAAAAAAAAATAAATAAACATGTATAAAAGTTAATATAATTCAAGAATCATTTCAAGAATTACCCAATTCATCACCACCACCACCGCCGCCGGCCGCCGGTGCCACGTCATCACCGCCGTTGTCCTCGGCCGCCCAATCGTAAAACCCAAACGTGTCCAAATCCTCGGTCCCCGGGCCTCCGAACCCGCGCGCGAAAAGCTCGTCTAGCGGCTCTGCCTCGATTTCTCCAAAATCCGCGAAAAAGCTGTCCTCGAGTGCTCCGGGCCCCGACAGAAACCCCTCGTCGAAAAATTCGGGCTCGTCGGGCAACGGAGGCGTCGTCTCGTCGGGTTTCGGGCCGACGATGGCTGAGGTGTCGTCGGGTTCCTTTGGGGGGTCCGATTGCGTGGGGCCCACGGGCTTGGTGGCATTGGCGGCGGCTTTGGAGGGGGGTTGGGAGCGGGTGGACCCGGCGAGGGCGTTTCGTTGGGTGGGCCACGGGTGATTGTGCTCGGAAGTGTACGTGATGACGAGCATGTTCGGGTCTGTTCGGCTACGCTCGACTTGTTTACGAGCCGAGCAACCCTTCGAGCTGCTGCATCTGTAGTAGCCCCTGCAGTTTCGAGTGTGTGTTGATCTAATGATTAAAGTCTGGACTGATAAAAAGTTAATTGTATGCATATATGAAAGCATATAACTTCATAAGTTATTAAAAAAAAAAATAAGTATATGAAAACATCTATGTAAATAATGACATCATAAGATATTAAAAATAACACCACATAATTAAGTGTAAGAACAAGAAAAAGGCTACATTGTGATTGTTCATAATTACATTCTAAAAATGCATATGGTGTTAGTGTAATGTATATTTGGATGAGTTACATATGTTGGGTTGGAAAAATTAAAGTTTTAGTACACTGACTTAATGGGTTTCTCATTTTTATTTAGGAATTTATTGGAGTCTAAAATTGATAACTCAGTTAATTTGGTTCGATAACTCTAAAATTTAAGAGCTATTAGATCATTTTTGAACCAAATAAATGTCGGATCCCGACGTTCATGTTCGATATTTGACCAAATTGACTAAAATTAAAGAGTAAATGGATTAATTTCGAAACTCAATAAGTTACTTGGCAAAAATGAGAAACACCTTAATTTAATTGACCAAAACTACAAATTTTTATGTTGGATTCAATGAAGCTCTCATTGCAAAAGATGGAGATTGTCTTTAGTTTTTCACATTTCATGGAAATAAGATTGCGGGAAACATAACCTACGTACATTGTTAGTCAGTCAGCACAAGTGCACAACAGAATTTTTTTTTTTTTTTTTTTTTTA